GGCTTGGGAACCAGCAGTTAGCGTAATGCCTATGTCACTGGATTCCCACGTAGTCGCCCGCGGTTCGCGTCCCAGACCCGGTGGCTTAAAACTCACGCTGGGCACCTGTGCGTGCATGCCCAAGGTCCCAAGAGAAGAATGGAGGAGAAGGGATTGCGGCGTGACCATCCCCCCTGGGGGGTGATTTCTCACTTTCTGTCTCTATGTCTCTGTCTATCTGGCGAGCGCACGTGCCCTATAGCGAAAAATACCTCTCAAAAAAAAAAAAAGAAAAATCGGCAGAAATAATTCTTCAAGAAATGTACTTGCATGTAAAGTATATGAATTTAGTAGTAATGTTCTATAGTAGATGTTTTAATAAACTTCTCAAAACAGAAAACTTTTTGTACCTACCCACAGTTTTCACACAGAGTGGCCTAACAATAATAAACTTAGTGCTCCAGCAATAAACTTACTACCCAGGGGTTACATCATTGCCTTCTAAATTCCAGTCTACCTAGCAAAATAATTCTCCCACGTGACTTTATACAAAAACCTATATGACAATTTGCTTAAAAAGTTGAATACTTGGAGCTGGCAGGTGGCGTGGTGGTTAAGGTGCTAGACTCCCACATGGTTCACTTTGGTTCCTGTCCTGGATCCAGTGGCTTAAAAGTCATGTAGAGCATGCATGCCCAAAATCTGGAGAATGGAAGAGGGATTGTGGTGTGGACATCACCCCCGGGGAATGATTTCTTACTTTCCCTTTCTTTGTCTCTCTCTCTCTCTCTCACTCATACATGCCCTATGAGGAGGGGAGGGGAGGGGCATTGAATACTATGGATCACTGAAACAATCAAAAATAATTTTGGAAATAACTCAAAAGTCATAAAGGACTCTGTACCATTTATGAAGTATATATGTGTGTGTATGTGTCACAATTATCACATACCATTCAATTATCACAATTATCACAACCATAGTAAATGAATAATAAAGGAAAATTGTGATGTTCCCTTACACATTCCTATTCATCTATCTTAGGGCATTATAAAAGTTATAAAATTAATGAAATAATTTCTATTCTGCTTCTATTTCTACAGCAGCATCTGAATTTCATGACAAATCTGTTGAGAAACAATATCATACCTAACAAAGATTTCAAAGTAAACTCAATAAACTCAAAGACTAAATAATAAAACACTATTTCCACAGGAGTTTTGACAAATTAGTCCAAAAAATATTTGCTTTGGGGACTTGTACACTTGTCTATACTAATTATAAACTGGTCCCTTTTCTGGGATGATCATTTCCCTTATCTGACAATTAAGTGCCACTAAAAAAAAATAGCAAAGCTGACAACAACTTTTGTTTTGTAAAGTCTAGTATATCAACATCAACTCAGCTCAACTCCCTCACAATAGCTTTGTGAGGTAGATCATTAGATAGACAGCAAGTATCATCTTCATTCTTGAAATGAAGAAACTGAGGCACTGACAAGGTTACATGATTTGCACACAGTATTCAATGAGTCAGTAATGAAATTACAAACAGTATTAATTATCTCTGCTCCTGGCCTACTTCTCTGACCTTACTTCACAATAAAAGGCTGTGTGTGTGTGTGTGTGTGTGTGTGTGTGTGT